ACAGGACGAGGCTCCAGCTAAGTCTCCTACTATCCCTGAAAAGATATGAGTTGGACACCAGGATGTCTGCCCAGATCAAAAAGGATTCTTCTTCCTGTGCTTCCTAAAACAGAGACCATTTCTTTTGAATTTTGTCATACCTGATTTCAGTGTTACGTTTTTTTTCCTCTCACATTGCTATAATCTAACTGAACCAGCATCCCACCTTCAGAAGGCTACTCTTCTGGGATAATTTGATTTTTCATGGTTCTCCCTGAAGATTAGTGTAACTATGCATATTTTTTCTGACTCACGTAAGACAATCAATATTCATTTTTTTTTTTTTTTTTTGACAGAGAGATAGAGAGCACAAGTAGGCAGAGAGGCAGGCAGAGGGAGAGGGAGAAGCAGGCTCCCCGCAGAGCAGGGAGCCTGATGTGGGACTCGGCCCCAGGACCCCGGGATCATGACCTGAGCCAAAGGCAGCCATGTAACTGACTGAGCCATCCAGGCGCCCTGACAATATTCATTTCTAATAAATTCTCTAGAAAGTGAATGCTTCCCTTGAGATAAATGGGGACTCTGGGATTTAGATCAGTCAACCCAACACAGATGGCAAACTGAGGTGGTGGGTAGGCGGGGAAGGGGGAAGAAGAGCATCTCTTAGTGCAGGCTCTCCGTGGCCATTCCTGTCACCCCAAAGCCCTTTATCAGCCAAGCCTCCATAGACCCCCACCCCAGGTTCTTGACAGCACTGTCCCCCGACCCCCGACCACCTTTTCCTCCTCCACCCCAATTCACTGTCTGAGGGCTTCTGTCCTGGCTTGCCACAGCGTCAGGGATGGAAATCCTATTCCAGGGGACATAAAAGGCACCAAGTTTCCACCATCTGTCTGCCTGTAATTCTTACCCCTCATGTGATTCTGAGAAACAGGCTTTTCCCAGTCCCCCTCTCTGTTTACTCCTGCTGACTTTTTCTTGATTTGTCTCCAGGGGTAGGGCATCCTGATACTATAGCTACAAAGAAAAGACAGGGGATGTTCTTAGAAACCAGAATTCTGTCCTACAAGAATGCCTAGGGGTATATGGAATCCCTAAATTGCTGGAGAAGGTCCCTTTGTTATAGGGGCTCAGTGGGTGAGAAGGTGGCAAAGAACTATTTTTCCCCTTTCTGACCCCCAAGTATATCCACTAGAAAGATATTGTTTTGCCTCAGATTTCTGTTTTGCATCAGCCTGAGGCTTGACCAAGGGTCAGAAAACCAGAAGAAATAATACCAAATCATTTCGTTGTATTCAAGAGGATTTCTCTTATTTTCCCAAATACTTGGGTGTGAGGCCAGACAGAACTATTCAACTTGACAAAAAGACTACTAAAATGATTGAAAATCCATTTAATTTTATTTACAGTCATCTAAAGGTTTGCATGGTTAGTTAGATTCTGTTGATCTGAAGGTGTATTAAGTCTTGGGTTGCAATATTTTTACAAATGAGCCACATTTGTGATGGTTTATCCATTATATGATAGTTACTTTTCCTGGTTATGCCGATTGAGGCATTTATGAAAAATAGAAAAGTGAACTTTTCTTAATAAACAAGTTTTTTTCCTAATTAATTTTAAGAGGCTGAGAAGCAACGGCAGTGGATGTCATCTGTTCATGCATCAACATAGTTTATTTTGACCAAGAATCAGAAGACAGTGCTTCTAGTACTAGTTATGCTAGGAACACACTGAATAGCTAGCCTTGAGCACATCACCAAATCTCCTCCCTACCTCTGGATTGGGAGCAGTGCTATCTGAGGTCCCTTTAGCTCTAATATTCTGTGATTCAATCACTAGAAAGGGACTCATTTGCAAAAAAAAAAGAAAAAGAAAAGAAAAAAACAATTTCTACAGTTTGTGACTATAGAATCTCTGTGCACCTCTGAATTCCCCCCTTGCCAATTTAAAAAGGGAATGTCTACCAAAAGGTCCAGAAAAGAAGTCCATTGCCAGCGGCTAATTCCCTAAATTTACTTCCAGTACCAGGATCTCATCCTGCCAAAATGCACCCCAACAGACTCCGAGAGGGGCGATATGCACCATCAGTCTCCCCAGTGCCATTAGGCAAGAACTGGAACTTATATAGCATGCCCTTGGGGTCTGGAGTAAAGGGCTGGAGCCCTCACCCATACTTCCTTGTGGACAAAATGTCTTTAGTACCAAATGGGGCTGAGAGCTTGGGGCACACCCAGTGTTCTCTACCCACAAGAACTAACTACCTTCACCACTTATTGGCTGGATGACAACGAGCAAATAACTTAATTTCTCCATGGCTTAGTTTTCTCACCCATAAAACCAGGAAAAATAACTTTATCGTCCAGGGTTGTGAAGAGTAAAACTAAAACAGTTCATGCAAAATATCAAGAATAGTGCCTGGCACAGAGTAAGAGCTCAGTAAATACTAGCGCTGATATTATTATTATTATTATTATTATCATCATCATCATCATCCTGTCTCCCAGGATAGCCCAGCAATGGTGGAGCGGGCGAGGAGGGACACTTTGGTGTGGATTTGAAGTCTTCCCTCAAGAGTTACAGGAAGGACATGTTCCAACCTGTTTCTACAGGCAAAAGGGAAGTGGTCTGAGTACAAACCCAGGTAATAAGGACCCGGAAAGAAATGGGCCCTGGGGTGTCGGAAGCCAACTCTCCCGGGGTGACAGACTTAATTCTGGGATCCTACCTCAGGTATCCAGGTCTTTCGGAAGAAGCCAATGCTCTATCCCCCCGCAATGCCTGGCCTGTGAGGGTGTGGCCTTTGTGCTCAGGAGCTGCACCGGGAGTCTGCGCTGAGGGAATCCCCGTTCCCGCTCCTTGGGGCTCTGAAGCTTGCCGCGGGGAGACTGGGAGCTCGCTGCTCCAGGGGTGCCCCAGGATGGGAGTGACCGACCTCAGGATTCCTCGGCGGAGCCCTGACGAGCGACGTCTCTTCCGGAAGGGTCTGGCCAAGGCGCGGGGCCCAGAAAAGGGGAATGCGCTGAGCTCTGCTCTCTCCCCGCTGGTTACAGGAGAGCAGCAGACTTATGCAGGGCAACCGCAGAGACTGCTGTGCCCCTAAAAGCCTGCACGTGGGAGGCCTGAGCAGGCAGGGCCAGAGGGTTTTAAACAGCTCCAGAACCCACGCAACCTCCAAATTCTTCTACCGGCCAGTAGGAACCGGGAATCGGACTCTCAGCCAAAGGTGCTGCTTGGAGAGGGGCGTGCACCTCCTCAGAGAGAGAAGGGTTAAAAGAGGTGCTTCCAGGCCTTTGGTAGCCCAGTGTGTTCCCTAGCTGGACAAACGGAGCCTGGGGGGCTGCCCGTTCTTTGCAACAGCAGTCTAGGTCCCCTCCCGCAGATGGTCTTCCATTCCAGATTGCTGGGGTGCAAAGGAGGAAAGAGCCTTGCCTTCCCGCATCCACCAAAGCGTCTGGAGCAAACAGAAAGCTCTACCTAGGGGCCCAAACGTGGACAGACCCACCTGTGCCCGGGGTCCCCGGGCCTGGAAGCCAAGTCTCCCCTTACCTGATGCTCACACCCCCTCGCCTGCCCCGCACGCCCTCCAGCTCTGCGCTCTGGAGCCTGCGGGAGCAGCTTGGGGCTCCCCTACTCCTTCGCTCCGCCCAGGTGCGATTTGCGGAGGGGCGGGGGGGAAAGGTGGCTCCCACTGCAGTTTCCGCCCCTGCTCTCTCCCCCAACCTGTTCGAACCCCTGTCTACTCGCTAGGCGCTGGGGACTCCCCCCTACTCCGCACACAAGCCTCCCCTGGGGGCCAGGAGTCCCCTTCCCACCCTGCGGCTGTGCAGACCTCTTTGACTCCGAGCGCGGGGCAGGAAAGATGGGCGTGGGTCTACGGCCCCGGCTGCGGAGGTGGAAGGGTGTATAAGTGGGTGCCGGAGAAAGGAGCGGACCTCTTAGAGCAAGGAAAGGCATCCCTGGTCCATGATCCGATCACTCAGTCACCGCCTAAGATGCCAACGCATTCAGAATCTCGCCGGGAGGTTTGTTTCTCCTGGAGGGGAAGATCGCCCCATCCCAGGCACCCAGAAGCCTGCCTTCCCAAGTCCCCCTCGGGCTCTGGCATTCCAGGTCTCCATTCTGCCTCTCTGCGCCTCCCCAGGTGCCCAGCCCCTCCCCCATCTATATTTCTACACCCGGGCCAGAGCACTCCGGACTCAAATCCTTTTTCCTCCACGTCAGGTGACCGCTCGGGACTGGCCCCTTGCCCACTTTAAAAGCAGAGCCCTCTGGTACCCTTTCAACCAGATCTACCCCCGACCCTCGGTTTCCTCCCCCACCCCTCCAGCAACATTTCCCTCCCCAAACGACTTACTTCACCCCCCCCCCCCCGGATCTTCACTAGCCGTTCCCGCGGCGCACAGCCGCAAGCCACTCCAAGGGTTTCATTACCGAGTTGGGGGTGGCATTCGCAAGGATGGATCGGCTCCCGCCGTGCTAGAGAGAGCCCCAAGGGTAGCCGCAGCCTTCCCCCTCCCCCCTGCTCGTCCCACCCCTCCTATTTCATTATCTCTGCTCCTATCCAACCCCCACAGGCAGGATGAGCACTGCTGGGTCCCAAACCCTCGCCTCTCTAGCGGGAGCTGCAGGGAGTGAAAAGTCGACTAGCAAGAACACCGAGAGAGAAATGGGCAGATGCAAACGTCAGGGGGTGGCAGTGGGGGAGGACTGGGGGAAGGGCGCACGAGAGAACTAGACGTGCAACTTGCACGGCACGGGGTGAGCACCGCGCAGGGAGGGGGGCACAAAAGTTTGCAGACTATTGCACGGCAGCCGGCTGCACGCGAACAGAGGGTCGACTCCCCTTCGCTAGGAGGGGGTCTCTAACAGGATCGGCGCCAAGGGGACCGGAGGTTTGGACATGGCTCTGACCTGGGGTGACAGTTCCCCTCTACTTATTATGGAAGGGACGGCCTAGGCACCCGGGCAGAGGGACGACACCGCGCTTTGCGAAAAAAAGCAACAGGCGGCTTGCACCTTACCTTGCGCCAGTCCCGGGCCGGGGTGGCTGCTCCATCCTCGTGGCGCAGGGAGGAGGCGTTGGATGCGTATGCCTGGGGGTGTGCGCCGCCAGAACTGCAGCGGCCGCTCTTCCCACCCCGCTGCTAGCCGGGCTGCCCACCCCGAACCGGGCCGGCGGGGAGGGCTCGTTCCGGGTCGCGGCGGCGGCGGCGGTAGTGCGCGGCGGCTGGAGCGCGGGACGCGGGCAGTGCGTGGCTCGCTGGCGTCCTCCGGCGCCTCTGCCGAGCGAGGGCGCGGCCCCGGGAGGCCGTGCAGAGCACCGCTGGGCTCCCGCTTCTGCGGCGGGTGCTGCAGACCCTGCGCCCGGCCCCGGAGCCTCGCAGGAGGAGGAGACAAAGACGCGAGGGAGGCGAAGCGCCGCTCGCCCAGATGCGATCGTCTCAGTCACTAAAGGGGAATCGCCTCCAAACCCGGGCTGGGGAGGAGGGAGGAGGGGCGCGGAGGCAGGGGACTGGAAAAGCAGCCGGGAATGAACGTGGCAGTCGGAGCCCTGCCGCCGCCTCGCCGGTGCTGCCCTGTTGCCATCCGGGAGGAGGGTCCGGAATGGAGAGGAAGGGCGGGGGCTGAGCGTTTGCTGCTGGAGGAGAGGAGCTGAGGTGGGAGTATTGGCTCCCTCCGACTCCCTTGCCTTCATTCGTCGCACCCTTCCTCCCCCCCCCCCCCCGTGCATAGCTCCACTCTCAGGAAGCTATGGCCCCATTCTTTCTCCTGTTTTTCTAACTACTGAGATCAGAGCTGAATAAAACTGGCAGAAGAAGCATAACGTGGTGGTGATGGGTTGATTGTCCTTTCATGGGGAAAAGGCGAATGCTTAAAATCTATTTGACAAATGATTGCCTACTGGGTGCCAAGTACTGTACTAGGCTGTTCTGGGTAAGATGAATAAAGTGAGATATTCCCCCTCCAAGGCTCTATGATTGAAAATCAGAATGATCCTCTGCAGTTCCTGAAGCCCAAAGTTTTGGGGCTGAGTCGTGGCCCCTGATCCCCACCCCAACCAGTCCAGTTTCCCAAAGCCGAAGGTGTTAGGAGAATTGAATTTGCCTTCCCATTGCAGGGATGACCGAATGTACAGCCAAAATGGAGTGTGTATAGTGTATATAGATCCTAAGAAAGTATGTGTGTGTGTGCGTGTTTGTTAAGATTAAAGTAATTACTGCTTTTAGTAGTTCATATGTCATGATTTAAATTATTCATCAGATCTGCACCTAAATAAATAAATGAATAAACAAGCAATTTGGGCCAGATGAACCGGTCTTCCAGCCTCTACAAATACCACCTTCTTGGAGAGCCCTTTTCTACAGACCTAAGCCTTTACTTTAGGCAGAATTACTTCTCCCTTTCACTTTGCTGTCACTATCATACTTGCCAATCACTTGCAGAATTCACATACTTATAGATATTTTTTATAGATTTCTATTGCTTTACTCACCTGTATTACTGCCTTTTTTTCTCCTTTTTTAGGATTCCGCTGCAACATCCAGCCTTGTTTTGTAGCTAATGGGTACTCAGGGAAAGCTTAACCAGTTGAAGGTCATTTTCTCTTTTAAACACGGCTAAATCCCAGTATCTCCAGAATTAAAGGAACTTGGGTGATGAAATTTTTAAGAGTTTGGGGCAGGGGAGGACGCATATAGTTCTACTCACAGTTCCATTGACCTAGAAACCTAAAACTATGTAATTCATTTGTGTTTCTAGACAATTTTCTTCTCCCACTGACAAGCCCACTCTGTTGAATTTCCAGAAGCAAGGGAAACCAAGCTGTTGGACAACTGCATAGAGCAAGAGATACATACTCAGCTGCCAACACCTAGAGCAAACCCACTCCACGTGGAGAATGACCAAAACCTCTTTGATCGTTTCATGACCTGTGTCAAGTATGTTGAAAACTTGTCAAAGTTTCCTCATTTCCAATGAGGCTTTCTTTGTGGATGCATTTTAGAATAGTTTGAACGGTATTTCATTGCTGAGAGGTGAAAAAACGTGCTGTGTTTAGGGATATTTAAAATAGTTCTTTAGGGGAACCTGGGTGGCTCAGTAGTTAAATGTCTGCCTTTGGCTCAGGTCCTGATCCCGGGGTCCTGGGATCGAGCCCCGCATCGGGCTCCCTGCTCAGCGGGAAGCCTGCTTCTCCCTCTCCCACTCCCCCTGCTTGTGTTCCTCTCCCGCTATCCCTCTCTCTCTGTCAAATAAATAGATAAAAAATAAAAATAAATAAAAATAAAATTGTTCTTTATTTTCTGTGCCCACTTCCTAACCATTGTAGGATGGATACCCTAGATCAGGGATGCTCTATGAAAAGGGTCCATAATGTGTAGGAGATTAGAGAAAATGACTGCTATGTTTCTAAGATGATACTGTGATTGGAAAGGTTGTGGGGTTTGTTTTTTTTTTTTGGTTTAAGTTTTGCTTATTAATTTCGTTTTTTTTTTAAGATTTATTTATTTATTTTGAGAGAGTGAGAATGAGAGAGAGAGAGAGAGAGAGCACATGAGAGGGGGGAGGGCCAGAGGGAGAAGCAGGTTCCTCGCTGAGCAGGAAGCCTGAGGCGGGACTCGATCCCGGGACTCCAGGATCATGACCTGAGCCGAAGGCAGTCGCTTAACCAACTGAGCCACCCAGGCGCCCAATTTTGTTTTTTTAAGTGAAGTTTTAGGACGCAGACACAGGTACGTATGGATGGCAGGTATGCAATTTGGTATAATTTTTCTGAAGGGAAATATGATGTTACTCTTGAAAGCATAAAATTTTTGCATGCCACGTTCCCTAAGACTCTACTCCTAGAAATTCATCATTAGGAATAAATAAGGATGTACAGTAAGATTTATCTACAAGGATATTCATTGCAGTGTTGCTTATTCTAGTGAAAAACTGAAAATAAACAAAACCAAATTGAAATGTCTAACAAGATAGGAATGGTGAAATATTTTGTAAGTCTATAAGTGGAATACTGGTCAGACATTAAACCCTGGTTGTAAGTGAATGAGTGAATATTGTCAACAATGACAGTTACGATTTTAGATGCAAAAAAATCAGATGCACAAGATGAGAGATACAATAATAAAAATTAATATCTGGAGTCAACAGATGTAGGTTTGGAGCTAGACATTTCTTCTTGATAGTTATGTGATCTTAGACTTGAACTTCCAAATCCTCAACTGTGTAATTGGTTGATGTTATTTACCTCATAGTGTTGTGTTTTAAATGAAATGGTATTTGCGAAACACTTACTACAGTGCCTACTACACGGTAAAATCTCAATATATTTTTCTCTCGGCAATCATTAAATTTATAAATGTTAATACCTACATATATTTAGGCTCTTGTCAAGAGTAATATACATTCCAGTATTAATAGCGGTTATCCCTGTTAATACAGGGATTACGGGTATCTTTTTAAAAATATAGGGTAATCAAAAGCAGAAGAATTTGTTTTTAATTAAGTTTTCTTTTAATTAAAAACAAATAATTTCTAACTATTGACATAGGAAACCTCAAGACTTGGATGCTCTCTGCTCTAGTTGATTCACATGATCATCAACAAGACTTGCTGACCACTGGTGTCGCCCATGCGATAAAAAGGATAAATGACAGGGCATGGAGTTTGTCACCTCTGATATAAACTTAGATTTGTTTTGTAGTAACCAGGAGTCAAATCCAGCTCAGCAAAATATGCTGTTTAATACCAGGAGCTGATTGGTTGCTGCCCCTGACTTGTCTTGACAGCCTATAAAAAAAAGAAGAGAAGAGAGGAGGTACCAGAAGCTATATTTGTAACTTGATTAGTGAATTAAGAAGGAAGCCTAGCTTTGAAGGGCCATGCGATTCAATGACCTTCACATCTACAGCAGTGGCCCCTCTGGGCCAGAGGTGGAGCTTTTGTAAAACTTATTGTGTGTTTTGAAATGTTTCAGAAATATGGAGGAAAATATGATTTGCTTGTGTTTTCAGTTTAACTATCTTTAGAAATAAGAGTAAGTGTTGTTTTAAAATCAATATATTCCAATAAGTTTGCATCTAAAGGAAATCCCTTGAATTTTGAGTTGTCTTCTCTCCATCTGAAACTCTCTAGAGAAATTAAAATGCATTTCTCTGAGCCCCTGAGTTGATTTTCTGAAATCTGAGTAATTGGGGTGACTTAAATGAATGGGATCAAGGCAAGAAGATGTTAATATCATGAATCCTTTGTGGAACATGTTCCAGTGACCTATTCTTCATAACAAACCACCCTAGAATTTCTTGGCTTAAAATAACAACAATCTTCTATTGGCCTGAATCTGGAATTTGGACAAGGCTCAGGGAGGAAGGCTCGCTTCGGGCCCTCTCAGTATCTGCTTAGGGCCATTGGATTCAGAACTAGAGGATTCACTTCCCAAATGACTCACTCATGTGCCCAGCAGTCTCTGTTAACTATCGGTGTTCAACAGAACTGAGGGTCAAGAACCTCATTTTCCACATGGTGTCTCCATGTGCATCTCTCCATAGTTTCGCATAGATTTCCTCACTTCACGGCGTTTAGGTTCACAAAGAGAGCCCTGCTAGGAATCACACCTTGCCTGGATAGTGAAAACCTGAACAGTTAAACATTGCCCATTATACGAATAATCTAGTCTTCATACGATTTTATAAATATTAATCCAGAATTCACTGGACAAAGTAAGCCAGTGAATCTAACTCATCCTTTGGATGATTTAGGTAAATGGATCAATTTTTCTTCTATTTACTGAGATTATTTGGAATGTGAATTAGTGCACCCACTATGGGAAACAATATAGAGATTACTAAAAAAATTAAAAATAGAACTATCACATGATCTACCAATTCCACTTGTGGGTATTTATCCGAAGGAAACAAAATCACTATCTCAAAAATATATCTGTACCCTCATGTTCATTGCAGCATTATTTCCAATAGCCAAGACCTGGAAACAACCTAAGTGTCTATTAATGGATGAATGATAAAGAAACACACACACACACACACACACACAATGGAATATTATTGAGCCATAAAAAAGAGAGGAAATCCTATCATTTGTGACAACATGGATGGACCTTGAGGGCACTATGCTAAGTGAAATAAACCAGACAGAGAAAGACAAACACTGTATGATTTCACTTCTATATAGAATCTAAAGAAACAAAACAAAACAAAAAAGCAAAAAAAAAAAAAA